ACTGAGTCATTCACTTGAGTATTAATGCCTGTTGTCTCATTTACCGAGTCATTCACTTGAGTATTAATGCCTGTTGTCTCATTTACTGAGTCATTCACTTGAGTATTAATGCCTGTTGTCTCATTTACTGAGTCATTCACTTGAGTATTAATGCCTGTTGTCTCATTCACTTGAGTATTAATGCCTTTTGTTTCATTCACTGAGTCATTCACTTGAGTATTAATGCCTGTTGTCTCATTTACTGAGTCATTCACTTGAGTATTAATGCCTTTTGTTTCATTCACTGAGTCATTCACTTGAGTATTAATGCCTGTTGTCTCATTTACTGAGTCATTCACTTGAGTATTAATGCCTGTTGTCTCATTTACTGAGTCATTCATTTGAGTATTAATGCCTATTGTCTTATACACTGAGTCATTCACTTGAGTATTAATGCCTGTTGTCTCATTCACTTGAGTATTAATGTCTGTTGTCTTATACACTGAGTCATTCACTTGAGTATTAATGCCTGTTGTCTCATTTACTGAGTCATTCACTTGAGTATTAATGCATATTGTCTTGTACACTGAGTCATTCACTTGAGTATTAATGCCTGTTGTCTCATTTACTGAGTCATTCACTTGAGTATTAATGCTTGTTGTCTCTTTCACTGACTCATTCACTTGAGTATTAATTAATGCCTGTTGTCGCATTTACTGAGTCATTCACTTGAGTATTAATGCCTGTTGTCTCATTTACTGAGTCATTCACTTGAGTATTAATGCCTGTTGTCTCATTTACTGAGTCATTCACTTGAGTATTAATGCCTATTGTCTTATACACTAAGTCATTCACTTGAGTACTAATGCCTGTTTCATTTACTGAGTCATTCACTTGAGTATTAATGCCTGTTGTCTCATTTACTGAGTCATTCACTTGAGTATTAATGCCTTTTGTTTCATTCACTGAGTCATTCACTTGAGTATTAATGCCTGTTGTCTCATTCACTGAGTCATTCACTTGAGTATTAATGCCTGTTGTCTCATTTACTGAGTCATTCACTTGAGTATTAATGCCTGTTGTCTCATTTACTGAGTCATTCACTTGAGTATTAATGCATATTGTCTTGTACACTGAGTCATTCACTTGAGTATTAATGCCTGTTGTCTCATTTACTGAGTCATTCACTTGAGTATTAATGCTTGTTGTCTCTTTCACTGACTCATTCACTTGAGTATTAATTAATGCCTGTTGTCGCATTTACTGAGTCATTCACTTGAGTATTAATGCCTGTTGTCTCATTTACTGAGTCATTCACTTGAGTATTAATAACTGTTGTCTCATTTACTGAGTCATTCACTTGAGTATTAATGCCTATTGTCTTATACACTGAGTCATTCACTTGAGTATTAATGCCTATTGTCTTATACACTAAGTCATTCACTTGAGTACTAATGCCTGTTTCATTCACTGAGTCATTCACTTGAGTATTAATGCCTGTTGTCTCATTTACTGAGTCATTCACTTGAGTATTAATGCCTGTTGTCTCATTTACTGAGTCATTCATTTGAGTATTAATGCCTATTGTCTTATACACTGAGTCATTCACTTGAGTATTAATGCCTGTTGTCTCATTCACTTGAGTATTAATGCCTGTTGTCTTATACACTGAGTCATTCACTTGAGTATTAATGCCTGTTGTCTCATTTACTGAGTCATTCACTTGAGTATTAATGCCTATTGTCTTGTACACTGAGTCATTCACTTGAGTATTAATGCCTGTTGTCTCATTTACTGAGTCATTCACTTGAGTATTAATGCCTGTTGTCTCTTTCACTGAGTCATTCACTTGAGTATTAATGCCTGTTGTCTCATTTACCGAGTCATTCACTTGAGTATTAATGCCTGTTGTCTCATTTACTGAGTCATTCACTTGAGTATTAATGCCTGTTGTCTCATTTACTGAGTCATTCACTTGAGTATTAATGCCTGTTGTCTCATTTACTGAGTCATTCACTTGAGTATTAATGCCTATTGTCTTGTACACTGAGTCATTCACTTGAGTATTAATGCCTGTTGTCTCATTTACTGAGTCATTCACTTGAGTATTAATGCCTGTTGTCTCTTTCACTGAGTCATTCACTTGAGTATTAATGCATGTTGTCTCATTT